GAATGATAACAAAGTATTATATTCTCTATCTTGTGTTTCTTCCTCAGTTACCGCCTGATAGAGGACCCTCCCCTGCACCCTGAGTTCTCTCGCTCCCTGGGCTTACTGCCCCCCCTATACACCGACCAGACCAAGGTTGACTACAGACGTTTCCTCGCCACCTTCGGTACCCACTTCATCTGGAAGGTTAAACTGGGGGGGCGGGTGAAGAGCGTCACCTCACTGCGCGTGTGTAAGGTAAGACTTCTCAAACTCTGCAAATTACATGTTTTGTTCTCCTTATTATTGATAGTGGTATGCCTATTTGTTCTGTACAACTTATTGAAGATGCATTGTTCATATATTTATGTAGATGATATATTTGACCTGTTTTATTTCAATTGTATGACATCACATTTGATGTAAGAGTCTGCATATGTACCAAGTGGTTTTAATAAACCTAATCCTAGGCGGCCCTCAGTGGTTACAACGAGAACGAGGTCAAGGACTGCCTGGAGGCCGAGGCCTCTGTCGGCACCAGCACCGGAACAGCCGAAGTCAAAACAGAGACAAAGTTCTGCAAGAGTGACCTCAAAAAACATGACACCAAGGAGAGCTTCAGCAGTACCTTCAAAGAGAGGTTTGATTGATTTTGATTTTATAGATTTTTTGGTGGGATTCATGGGCATTATACAAGACTTATAAAAAACTAATTTCCAATAAGGTCCTCATGTAAGACAAAACATGACTAATGATAATAAACTAACAAACAGGTTCACCGAGGTGATAGGGGGACAGACGGACGGAACGACCGACCTGCTCTTCTCCCCGAAGGGTGCAAAACTCCATGGCCTTCAGTGACTGGGCAAGAAGCCTGAAGACCATACCTGATGTCATCAACTACTCCCTCCATCCTCTCCACCTATTGGTGAAAAAGGCCAGCAAGAGGGCGGGGCTGAAGAAGGCCGTGGAGGACTACATCCTGAAACACAGCCTGGTCAAGCACTGCTCTGGGAAGTGTAAGGGGGAGTCCAGGTCCAGTACCCATGACTCCTGTCAGTGTGTGTGCCAGACCAGCAAGGAGATGACCAGCCAGTGCTGCCCGCAGGAGAAGGGCCTGGCCCACCTGACCGTCACCGTGCTGAAAGCCAGGGACCTCTGGGGGGACACCACCTCCCAGACAGACGGCTTCGTCAAGGTATTATCTCTTTTAATTTAGAATTTTAATTGACTATGAAGCTTGTTTTTAAGTGCACTTTAAAACAGTCTAGGATTTGACATGGGTTACATCTCCCTAGTCCCATACCTGAGCTGCACACTAAAAGAAGTGGCAAGGACCTTGTTTTGTCGTTTTTCTAATCACATACTGTAGCTTTCAATCAAGTTTGATTTGATTTGATTTGTCAAGGTGTTCATGGGCAACGACGCCAAGCAGACCAGGGTGATTCAGAACAACAACAACCCCATGTGGAAAGCAGCCTTACAATTTGGGACCGTCAAGCTCTCCCTGGCCAGTGAGCTCAAGTTTGCCGTGTACGATGAAGACAGATGGTCGAACGATCTCCTGGGGGAATGCATTGTCCGGCCCGTCAAAGCTGGGTTTCACGAAAGTATGTGTCCCATGAATCACGGCAGCCTGTTCTACTCCTACAAGGTCGAATGTGCCCCAGGACTTGGTGGCCTCACCTGTGGGGAGTACGCCCCTTCCAGGATGAACTCTGACCTCGCTTACCTCTACACCTCCCGCAACGCCCTGAACATGACTCAGGATCTGCTGGCTCACATCCAGATGGGCCGGCCCCTAGGAGACCCTTTGGCCTTCTTGGTGAAGCAGAGGGATAATGGTCACCCTCGTATCCCTGCCCTCAGTGAGCCGTGATCAAAACGTATCCACTGTAATGCACTGTAAACCTTAGTCTATCTATCTAACCCTAATGCATACCATTTCTAACCTCTTGTTCTGAACCAGAATGCATTTTACTTTGGTAAAAAAAAACATAAAACCATCCAAAGTATATCGTATATATTTTATTGCTGAAGAAATTCATCATGCCACTCCGTGTCCTCTCCAAATATTATCGCTACACCATCGAGAGCGTCCTGGCCGGTTGCATCACAGCTTGGTACAGGAATTACTTCGTCCACGGCCCTCCAGCGGGTGGTGAAGGTGGCCCTAGGGATGTTAACGGTTAACATTGGCTTGTGTGTATTTTCATTAGTTGTCATGAATCCAGTACACAGCTGGGCACAGCATACAGAGTGCGTGAGAGCAGCACCTCAAAAAGCTGGTACTGGACTGAAATGTGCTTTTATAAGCCCAGTCATTAAAAAAGAGCTACTATTGTTATTTCTCAATCTCAACTCATAAGATCCCGTTCACCATTTGAGTGCATAGGCTATAGTCAATGGTAGGCAGGCTATCAGCGCGTCACACATCTAACTACAAATGTTCCCACAACTTTAGAGTAGGTTCCTTAAGGAGAATATTCCATCAACGTCCCACCAACGTCCCACCAAACATACAGAGAACATGGTTGCCAAACATAAGATATTAATGTTCTAGGGAATGTTGCAAAAACATTTGTGGGAACAAAAAAAAGTTATTACACCACGTATTGTTACTGTTGCCGAGCCAATCAAGGCCCTGATTGGTGAACCACTGATCCAGTCATAGCTCTTTGTCTGTTGGCAAGGGATACTTACACACACAGTGCTTTTAAGATACAGGGTTTTCAACATACATATTTGACACACTTTGACATACATGATTACATTGTGCATGTTCAATGAATTATTATTCAACATGTCCTCACCTGGGATTTTAACTCATAACCTCTTGGTTCACTGTACTCCGATCTTCCTGCTACTTCACCATGTCCGTGTTAGGTATCAGTTCCTCTTACTATTCTCTTATCATTGAGTTTATTTACTTATTTCAGCAATATAAGGGATTTCTGTATAACTATGTCTATAACTGTCTAATGTTGGTTGGGCATATTAACCTGTTTTAATGATACTCCTGAATCACTTTGATCAATAAAATATTTTCTTGAGTGTACTTTCAACAGAGCTGAGATTTACGTCTATCAAGTTGTTTCAGATCTACACGTGCCTAGGGAGGAGGGGTTAGGGTTTCTTTTGGACAGGGCCTAACTATACTGGCCCAATAAGCACATTCCCTAGAGATATCCCATATTGGGACAGTGGTTAGGGCGTTCATCATTGGCCTCTACGGGAGTCACCCTACTGTCTCATTCTAAGCAATATACAGTACCAGTCAAAAGTTTGGACACACCTACTCATTCAAGGGTTTTTCTTAATTTTTACTATTTTTTACATTGTAGAATAATAGTGAAGACATCAAAACTATGAAATAACGCATATGAATGAGTAGGTGTGTCCAAACTTTTGACTGGTACTGTATCTATACATTATTCTAATAGCAGGACACTGTAAAGTCCATTATTCCCCTGAAGATTATGAATTAGGCTGTTTGAGAAGGTTTGAATCCTAAGCAACCTGCATACAAATTGTTTGAAGTACAGTAGACCAACATAGCTACTGTAGTAGGTCAAAGTGTGCTGGAAAACCTTGGTAGAGCATGGGCCTAGGGCTGTGGCGTTCATTACATTTTGTCAGCCATTGAGTGTCATGCAAATAACTGCCGGTCTCACAGTATTGGACTGTGAATTAACATAAACATCTCCTGGCTTCTACGCATAGCCCTACAAGCCACTGATACAGAGCTTTAGAACATTACATTGAAAAAAGGCTAATAAATCCATTTAATATTGCCTACACCATCACAATAAATCCATTATTTATTTTAGACAGGTCTAAAGAAACATGATATGACGAAAATGTGGCCTATTTCAAAAGTTGTCCATATGTTAGGCCCTGATCTGGCTATGACATATGGCTGTGCGTTACACTAGTTAATTTAGCAGACAAGATTTGCTTACAATTCCGTGGCATTATTTTCAATTATTTTATAGTAAGAAGAATGCAATTGAACATAGCTGAATAAAATAGAAAGGATATTTCAGAGGAAGTGTGCAGATGCGGCTATTCTGTGTTGAGCGTTATCAAAGAAACAGGTTCTCCTATATGCTTAATTTAGAGTTATTTATACAACTTTAGTTGTGATACAAATGTTAGGTTATGTTTTGAGGCTGCATGATGCTACTCTAGTGATGATTTGAAAAAAGTTGCATGAAAGGCATGAGCTCTGCTCTGTTTCTTGCGTAGGCTGCACACACTTCATCAGTCTCTCATTCACAATTTGACAAGCACTTATGGCGTGTCCATAAGGCTAGGGGAAGCTAAGCTTTCCCTAAAGTAAATTGAATTAAATTGCCAAAATTATACAGCCTAATTAGCCAACTCCTATCTATACAGAAGTACATGAAATCCTTCAAAATAGGCTACTAAAGCATGATTTGGCCACCAAGGATCATTAGCTTTGTAATATTTGTGTTGTGGAGAATATCACCAGGCAGGAGACGGGAGTACAGTTTAGTGTTGTTTAGTAAAAACATCTCGTGCCCCACAGCCCCCAGCCCAATAGTGCGCATGATCACTTCCTATTGGGTGTCGTAACATAACACTGCCGTAATACATTACTGCTTAGTAACAGCATAGTAACTAATATAGACAGCTATAGATCACTGATACTACACTCCTCCCCCATGACGTTTAACTCCCAGAGAACAAGGTAAAAACATTTGTGAAATACTAATGCAATATCTGAACAATACATTCTTAAACATTTCTCAACTACTGGGTTGAATAGACTTTTCAGAGCCCAGTACAAATCCAGCGTATTATTCTGCCCTGAAGATGGAATTTGTGTCCTAATAACTAACCCAGGTAATGTCCTTTTTCTTTCCTTTTATCTAGGACATATTCAAGTAAAAAAAAAAAATGTTGTTCACTGTTCGTTACCTCCTGAAACAGCTCAACTCACAGGTCAAGCTTTTGAGGTGCCCTTCACTGTCGAACAGGATATCTCCGCTCCTCCTGGGCTTCCGGTGGTGGGCCAGGTTCAGGTGGAAGGTCAGGCTCTGTCTCTCCCGTACGTCCACAGCCAGGAGAATAGTCCTGGGGGTCATTAATGTTCTTGTTCTCTCAGAATGTCTCTGCTGGGGCGTTGGACCATAGCAGATGATCCACATAAACATTGACATGGCGATGACCAACTTAGACTTGGTAAGTCAAAGTTCCTCTGTGTCGCAAGATCACACCTGAGTTCCACAGGCACTTGGGGTGTCTGAAATCACTTACCATCACCCTCTCTTCCTCTTTGAATTCTCTGACAGTCTTTGAGTGATTGTCATGAGCTTTCTTCTGCTGTAGCTGGTGCTTTGCCACAGTGTTTGACAAGTCTGGTTTCAACAAAGTCAGGCGGGTACGTGGTTGGCGTTTCAGAAACATCGGCATTTGCGCGATCACTGGATTGTCTGTACTCGAGCTCATAGTCGTAGGCTAGCAATATCAGAGCCCAACGTTGCATTCGAAGTGCAGCCAGGGTTGGTATGGCTGATTTTGGTCCAAGGATGGCCAACAGAGGCTTGTGATCTGTCAGCAGTTGGAACTTCCTTCCGTAGAGGTATTTTTGAAACTTCTTCACTCCGAATATTATGCTCAGGGCTTCCTTCTCAATTTGAGCATAATTTTTCTCAAATGCAATAGGGTGTTCTTCACCTGATGGTAGAACATGTGAGATGACGGCTCCTACTCCGTATGGAGATGCATCACACGCGAGTCTCAGCTTAATCTCTTTAGCAGATGCTGTTTGCAAGTCTTGAATGCTTCTTCGCATTGTGGAGACCAATTCCTCTTTGTATCGGCCTGCAGCAGTTGGTGAAGTGGATGCAACAATGTGGACAAGTTTGCCGCAAACTTTCTGTAATAATTCAGGAGTCCCAAAAATGACCTCAGCTCTGAGACATTTGTGGGTGCTGGTGCGTTGACGATTGCTTCCACCTTGCTGTTGGTTGGGTGTAGGCCTTGTGCGTCAATCTTGTATCCGAGATACTCAACTGAGTCCTGGAAGAACTCACACTTGCTGCGTTTCAGTCTCACTCCGTATTTCTCCAGTCTTTACATCACTTTGTCCAGCACTACAAGGTGTTCTTCCATGGTTGGTGCTGACATGAGGATGTCGGCCATGAAGCACACAACATTGTCTATGCCGTCCAAGATCTGATCCATTGTGTGTTGGAATATTGCTGGAGCTGTCGAGATCCCATAGGCCAAGCGATTTAATCTGAATAGCCCCTTGTGTGTATTTATGGTCAAATACTGTTCTGACACTGGATCCAGCTTCAGTTGCTGATAAGCGAATGACAGGTCCATCTTACTGAAAACCTTCCCACCAGCTAGAGTGGCGAACAGATCTTCAGCATTTGGTAGTGGATATTCCTCTGGTAGTATGCAGCGATTTACTGTGACCTTGTAGTCGCTGCACATTCTGACGGTCTTGTCTTTCTTTGGGACTACAACGATTGGAGTGGCCCAGTCGCTCCTCTCCACTTTCTTGATGATGTTATTCTTCTGTAGGCGCTCCAGTTCTTTCTCTACTGCTTCCTTAAGAGCATAGGGAACTGGACGTGGTTTGTGAAAGATAGGCTTGGTTCCTTCTTGCACTCTGACTTTTACTGTGAAGTCTTGTATGTCGCCATAGTCATCTTTGAAAAGTTATTTGTGCTTCTCCAGCATGTTAGTGAGTGCAACGTGACTCACTGGTTTGTCATTTCTCAGACTGAAGATTTCTCCCCAGTTCAGCTTGATCTTCTGTAGCCAGTTTCTGCCTAGCTAGGCTGGTTTTCTTTCCTTTAACAATGACAAGCGGTAGTGTCCACTCCTTCCCCTCATACT